CTAGTTACATGCTAAAAGGTGTACATACCTCTAATCTGACAATTTGAGAGTGACGTAAAGAAGGGGGAAGGCTATATGGAAGGCTATAAAGTTGTAAAAAAAAACGTCACTTTGACATTCTCGAGCGTGGCTAATTTTATTTTATTTTGAAGGGAATCATTCAAGGATTACGAAAAATATATAATCTGACGATTGTCACAAGCCGAAGTAATAAAAATTCATCGATAACATTTAATGCGTTTAAGCTACGTGATACCTATATTTCCTTCTTCGCATCACTATTTCTCTCTCTTTTTCTGTCTATTACTCTCTCATTCCATCCCCACTCTGGTTTCGGTTGCCATGACGCCATGGCAGCTGATGACACAGACTCGTTCGTGGCGTGATATTGTTTACATCGTATTTCCAAAGTTTTTGCTTATTTTTTTATTTAAATGTAAATTTTGTGAATTAAACTTTATACATATTTATTAGGAGAAGAAGAGGAAGATGATTCTAGCGATGAAGATAATAATTAATAAAAAATACTGTAAAAATTAAATTTTCATATAATCATTTTCTTATAAATATAAGTATTTTACATAAAAAACATACACTTTTTATTTGCATGCTAACTCCGGTGCTTTTCTATTTAATTAAGCTCAATGATTTTTTTAGTGTCAGTTTAAGTAAATCCCTTCAGATAATCGTCAGATTATGTGATATCACGTCTGGGGCATAAAGATGAACCATATATATCTTAATCTGACGCGCTTGAGTATTTCAAAATAGCGATTTTTTTTGCACATTCTAATAATGATCACGCGTTTGCGTCACATCCAAATCGTCAGATTATTATATGAGAGCTTTTTTTTAGGTTCACTTGACATCCCCTCAAAAAATCTGACGCGCTCGATTAAATAATTTTTTTTTTAATTTTCAACCCTTACGTATAACCACCCCCATCATGGAAACGATCAGATTAACATACGACAGTTTTTAAAAATGCGTAGGACATGGATGATATTTATATCTGACGCGCTCGAGTATGTCCATACAACAGTTTTTTTTTTTACATTTTTGAAAATCTATAGCCGCTTCCCCAAATGCGTAGGCCGATTTTGATGATTCTTACGTCAATCGATTCGTCTTAACCTTGCGCGTGTCACTAAAGACATGACAGTAAGCAAAATTCACCACAGCGACAACCAGACGCCATATTGTCGAAATTAAAAAAATAAAAATCGATGAACTATGTCAAGTGGGGTGTCGTTGAATAGGTAATTTAAAACCATCTTTAGGTTCCTTTTATCATTTTTCATTTTAAATAATAGTTTAGGATATATAACGATTTAAAGTTGTTTAACAAAACAATATCGGTAATTTTCTTACTTATTGATTTAAGTTTTTATTTAAACGTTTATTAAAGTATAAACGATATACAAACAAAGAAAACAGTGAAAAAGTATGAAGAACAAATATTTATGGTAAAAAAAAGCATATGAGCTTTGAGCCGAGTTAGGTCTCTAGAGGGACTAATCAGTATCACCAGTAGCTTAGACCACCGCAAGTTACTTAATAATCTCAATGAAATGACTAGATTGCGAAATTTATCATCTTATAACGAAGTCAACGAATCGTTACTAAAAAGTATAAAATGAAACTTAGTAATTTCAAGAAAAACAAGAAAGAATATAAAAAAATGTATGGGGCCCCGACGTTCTGTATTACTTAACAGAATTCCAAACTACTGGGCTTGTTTCTTTCTTTTTAGTTTTTATTTAAGTTAATTTTTTAAAATTCGTTTTTACGCAGCCGGGTTTTTTGTGAAGGAATCGTAATGTTTTCATGCGTACATAATATTTTCATAGATGTATTGAGAGGCAACAGTCAAAATATTTATTTCTTTAAAGGTTAATATAATTAAATGGAAAGTCACTCCTAAAATTAGTTGCGTGTAACCAAACGTAATTGATTTATACTGGTAATGATATAGTTTGTGTAAATGTCGTTACTTTTGTTAGAGCTGGAAGGTTTCTTGCTCATTCTTCTAGTCAGTGTCAAAAGACGCCATAATTGAAGTCCAGCCCCCTGATTGTCTAATTTTAACAAGCAATGGTTATACAACATCTTTCAAACCGAAGCGACAGCGATAGATTTTAAAGTTAGACAATTAGTTCCCTGTCTCTTAAATCACGTGTCTCTCTCACTACGGGATGTTGGCAAAATTTCCGTGTATAACGGAACAAAAAACAAAACGAAAAAAAAAAAATTATTGATGTGTGGAGGAGACGTTGCACTAATTATATAGTAGAATTTTTCTATTATTCTAATAGTAGAAGACTCATTAGTCTTGACTCAATAAAGCCCGAAGAAATCTACGATGGAACAAGCTCGGCCAGTAGGAGCCTATTTATTTAATAATTTATGCAATAAAGTACAAAGGCGGACGTAATGCCTTAGGCATTCTCTGCCAGTCAACGTTTAGGTGATGTGAAGACTAAATATAATTCCAAATATCCATTATATCCATTCAAACCTTAAATAGATCTGGTTTATATTATAGGTCTGTTATTATCCGTACTGGGCTTGAATGATGGGTGCTTCTTATCTGACTCAATGCTTAGGCGAGGCCTGTAGCTGTACCCTAGCATAGGAGACAATTATGCTGACATTTAACTATGTAATTATAGAATATATAACATCATGACATTAAGTCTTCACTTTAATGAATACATACCGCTCACTGAATGGTACTGGTACAGTGGCACAACACAAAAACCATAATTTCGAGAGAAAAAGCTCTCCGAAGCTTATGAAAATCCAATTGTTTTATATTATTACTGATAAGTCTTTTTATTTTTTCTTTAAATTATCTGTGGGATCCCACCACAATGTTGTGACGTTTTCTCGAAATTATGGTTTTTTAGTTGTGCCACTGCGCTATTCAGTGAGCGGTACAACCAATGTTATAATAAACAATTACATTTGAAATGCTACACCTGTTATAGTCGGGTCACACTCACTAAAGGAATCTGCTGACATATAACATCGTTGCACACGGTCCCATTGTTGGAGTGACCGAAATATTACCAAAACTGCTGATGCAGCGGCACGTGGAGCAACAACGGACGTGGAGGCAATCCGACTGCCGAGTAATAGAGTTCACTTTTAGATCAACCATCGATCGGGTCACATAGTTAGGTTAGTTATTAAGAAATATAATGTAATTTTATTTCATTAAATTAGTATTAAGTAAATTTTGGTTTTCTTTGAAATCTCCGGCTGCAGCTTCTATAATTCACCTGTAACATATGGTACTATTTTTATTGTAGATTTAAGAACGTGTATAATATTTATGAGAAAACTTATAAATAGCGTATGTTCCTCGTAAAGAAGCAAATTATAGTTATTGCAAATTCTTTAATAAAAGTAATGTTATATTGCGACTTTCAAATCGAATTTTAAAGCGAATTACATATTAGTTTACTTTTAAAATGCTTAATTAATACTAGCTGTTTTCCTGTGACTTTGCGCGCTTAATTACAATCTAAATTTATTATAAAAGAATTTATAAAATCAGTTCTATAGTTTTCGTGTCTATTCAATGTAAACAAACAGACAAATCTGTCCTGTTAGTTAATTTAAACTATAAAAACTTGAAATAGCTTAATTTTGAAGCTAACTTTGTATTAGTTTATAGTTAACATTCGCAAATGGAAACCTTATGTTTTATTATAACATCCGCTATAACTAGGGTCGCCATGTTGTCTGGACTAGTCTGGATTCCCCGACTTTCTGGATGATGACCCGAATCCCGAGGAAAATGGCAATGTCTCGACTGAAACAAATAACCTTCGAAATGTGCCTGGAAAAGAGAGACTCGTTTAACTCATCGGTATTTAACATTGTCTAGGTCCCAAAAATACGAATTTTGGTCTATTAATTAGGCAGATATTTAATTCTATTAATTAAGCAACACGGTGCAAACACAAGCTCGGTGGCGTAGTGGATAAGCGCCGCGGCCCGTGATCGTAGTGGTTAAGCAACTTTCGCAAGGGTCGGTCACGGGATGGGTGACCAAAATTTTTATCTCGAGCTATTCCGTGCTTCGGAAGGCACGTTAAGCCGTCGGTCCCGGCTGCATTTGCAGTCGTTGATACTCTCCAATCCGCATTGGGCCAGCGTGGAGGGTCATGGCCCATCCTCCTTAACCGTCCATGAGGAAGGCCTGAGTTCCTGCAGTGGGGACGTAAAAAGGGCTGATGATGAACTGTAGATTGGCTCACACGACGTTTTCAAGTTGTCGCCATCTGAGAGGTCCCGGGTTCGGTTACAGTCAGGTTAATGTGATAAATGAATATCTTCATATTGTCCTGGCTCTAGCTGATGTAGTACCTATACAGGTATGAACATACTTATATGTAAAGTGGTATAGTTTCTAACTTGGTTTGTCTGTTTGTTTATGGCTGGTAATCTTCGGAAATACTGATACAATCATATAAATTCTTTCGCTACATTATAGGCGGGTGACATAGGTTATTTACATGGGCGAAGTCGCGGCAAAACAGCTAGTAAACTATAACAAATGTTTAAGGTACTTATCTTGGAATGTACACAATAAATAAAATGTTGTATAATATTTAATAGTCGCATATATAATCACAGTTTAATTAGGCTACTTGTTTAATCCAAAATTACATTATTATCAGTGAATTCGTGATATGCGACTTCTTTAGTCTTTATTTAATAACCAGCAAATTAACACGTGAAACAATCCCATTTAAATTCGCAAAGCATTGACACCAACGCGCTCACGCAGGCAGAATGGCAACACGAGCGAGACGGCGAATACTGTTAACTAAGCCGCCAGAACGAGACGGGTTTGTCCCGCTACTTACGCCTTGAACTGTATATCTTTACTACACAATAATTTTTGTCTCTATTTTTCAAGCAGTAAAGTTTATAATAGCTTCTTCGTTTTATTTAGATCCGTGTTGAGTTAGCTATTATTAAAATTCAATCTGACGTAAACTGTACCTCTAAACGGACGTTTGTAAATTAAACAATAATTTGTATTTAATGTTTTTGTTTGTATCGTACTTCTAATGCGTATACGTATCAAAGGCTCGATGCAACAGTGTATGGAAGTGTTTGTGAGTGATGCAAATGAATTTTGTTAAAGTATATGCAATAAAGGAGGCTTTTAAGGTCATTGGAGGCTTGTCGTGACTATTTTATGGTACGTAATCTCTTTTTATTGTCACCGTGTAGTCTGTAGTAGCTTTATTGTAGTATTCAAAACGGAAATTTGTGTTATTCAATCTAATTTAACCTATCTTTTTTGTTATGTTATGATTCTAGTGAAAGATGAACTAATGTTACTGTATATATTTAATCTTAGACATCAAGATAAACAATGATTCATCAATTTCAAATGAATTGAACTTGCCAAATTAATGTTTGGCTGTATCAACACATAACTAGGTGCCTTTGTGTTAACAAAAATAATTCTGTTGGCACTTTTAAAACAATAAGTAATAAATAACAGATCTGATAATAGCACATTGTGACTGCATTATCATAACCTTGGCGGGGAAAAAGGATATTAAGAGATAGATTCACAGCTCGTTTTTTATAAAATTGTTGCTTGTTTTATCAGTGAAACCTAACAGTGTTGTTGGAGTGAATTTAAGCTGAGACTGCACTTAGTATTAGTCGAAATTCATATTATTAAACGCAGACTTAGCAAAGGTTAACTTAGTGCGAGGATCTACAGGAGAGATATTAACTCCTAGAAGGTAGTATGTTTGGTTTTCTCTGTATAATATAAATTTTGGCAAACACTTAAATTGCTATTTTAGCGTTAATTTACCCTGACGCTAAATCTAGTTTATTAATAGCACTATAAATTGCTGATTTGACATCGAAATTAACCAAAAGGCCACTTTTTATTCAAAAACTAGATTTTGTATCTTCAAAATGATATTATCCTTATACTTTAAGACGCAACGAAAGGAGTGATTGACTCGTCTACCTAATCTGGTAAAATAGCCTAAAAGTTTTCAAGGACATGGAATCTTTATTAACTTTTAATGTAGGTAGGTTCTATTTAATTGAACCTCTACGCTCGTCTTCGTTTAATATTCTGCAGTTTCAGAATTAAGTCTCCAGATTTGCAATCAAATTCACTTGTTTTTGTCTCCATTTTCTTAAATAGCCGTCATCTCAAATAACACTTCTATCGTACCACATTCTATCAATATCTATCTTTTTTATATAATCATATTAACCGGTCAAGTGCTGGGACTTGCGAGCGGTAGGTTCCGTACCATTTTAAGAATAAAAAAACGTTTGTTGTGTGGTAGGCAAAAACTATATACATCTGTGATAATTTCAGTTGTCTAACTATCACGGTTTAGGGGGCGTCCATAAATTACGTGAGATGTTTAAGGGGGGGAGGGAGTCGAGTCAAATCTCATCTAATCTCACGTTGGAGAGAGGGGGGGTCTCGGCAAATATCACGCAATTTTTAAAATAAGGCTCGGTGCGGGGAATCCCTCATAGAGTGACAAGTCTAAGGTTGAGATCATTCACTGATTCGTTGGAAAGAAAATAATTTCATTCGTACTTTGACATTATACATCACTCCTGATTGTCAAACCACTATAGGTACTCGTTTTATACCAAATAGCTCAATTTAATTTGAATTTACGGTACAATGTAGCCCGTCCTTTGTTTTCGCGCCACTGTCAGCTGAACGTGTGACTCGATGAATGAGAGCAATATGGATTACTAGTCTCTAACTAGTCGTAAATAAAAGTACGAAGCGAATTATTTTTTTTTCTTTTTATTAAAAAAATCCAACGTGTTTAAATAAGAAACACACATTTTGAAAAATCTCACGTGAGATTTGGGGATGGGGGAGGGGATTGTATAAAATCTCACGACATGTCACCAGGGGGGGAGGGAGGGTCAGAAAATTTGAAAAAACACCTCACGTAATTTATGGACGCCCCCTTATGAGATGCAGCCTGCACGCGTAGCATGACAAAGTCGAGGACGTTTTGTCTACATTCAAATGTCACTTTTCTCGGGTGCGCCCATACAATATCTCACTCTCAACCCGAGAAACTGACAAATGAATGTAGACAAAGCGTTTCTCGAGTTTGTCATACTACGCGTGCTGGTGACGGACGGACGGCAGTCTTACAATTAGTAAAAGTTATTCCGTTTTTGCCCTTTGGGTAGGGAAACCTAACCACGACCAAAAAAAGTTCGTGAAGAATTCAAAAATTCCATGATTGATATTGAATACAGTAAAGCTTTTGATATAATTGTACACTATCCATCTAATAATAGCTGATATTAGACCACCTACAAAAGTGGTTTGCATCTCCTATCATATTAATATAGGCTGCAACCGGTAGCAGTTGTTATCTGTGCTGGATGAAGGTAACTAAGGGTGTACCGCAAGGGTCTGTCCTTGGCCCATTATGTTTAATTATATTAATTACTAGCTATGTGTGTTATACGAGAATTTAATACGAGATTTTCTACAATGTAGTAGCAAAGAATCATTTTATTTTTAATGACTGTAAAAAACAACATAATTAAATCGATAAACGAAACGAAAAGATTTTTGTTTTTTCTAGTAATCTGACGGATGGGATTGTCCCCCATTGTTTGCGGAGAAGTTGCGAATCATTTCGACAAATCGCAAGAGAGGGGATAATCTATAAAAATGGGAAAAATAGATGAACGAAGACGCGAGTGAGTAACAAGCTCGATGGTGTAGACGATAAGCGCCGCGGCCCGCGATCGTTGTTGTCAAGCAACTTTCGCAAGGGTCGGTCGCGGGATGGGTGACCAAAAAAACGTTGTCTCGAGCTACCTCGTGCTCCGGAAGGCACGTTAACCCGTTGGTCCCGGCTGCATTTGCAGTCGTTAATACCCTCCAATCCGCATTGGGCCAACGTGGAGGGTCATGGCCAATCCTCCTTAGCCATCCATAAAGAAGGCCCGAGCCCCTGCAGTGGGGACGTAAAAGGGCTGATGATGATGATGATGAAGACGCGAGAAAGAAATCCTTCACGTTGGTTAAATCAGATCTGAACACTCAACACCACAGTCAATGAGGCCATATCGCCGAAGACAGGGCAAGATGACGAACAAAAGTCCACTAGAGAGTCATTCAGCGATGTCGTGCCTCTCGCCATTAAGGATGAACGACGCGAGGAGGACCGATAGGGAATCTTCATACCTATTTATAGCCCGATAAATAATAAAAAAAAATGTTAAAATGTAATCGTTTAAAACCTTACTGTAATGTCATTATTACTTTAAGATTGTTTCACTATTGATAGATAATTTCTTTAAACCAAAAACTATTTAAGACATGATGTAGAGGCTATAATATGATCCATTATAAACAGGTAGAGCACACATACCAATATGGCTTTTATATTGATAAATAGAAAAATTCGTAAGCTTCAATATTTAACGTCAGAAATACCAATGACGTCAAATAAGCTTTTTTTATACTATAAATTGTTGATTGTAAACTGTACAGTTTTTTAAATAGGATCTGGCAGCCACACATCTCTGTACTTCGATACCGATGTCTGTTTGTTTATGCATTAACATCTACTTATCTAAAAATATCCTTGAGTTGCCAGATGAGTCGAACAAATACAAGGTCTCGGTATATATCTATACTAATGTTATAATGCGAAAGTAACTTAGTCTGTTCCGTTTAGACGCATAAACTTTTGAACCAATTTTAATGAAATCATATATACAAATAGAATGGACCTTCAAAAAGGATATAGTTACTTTTAAGAAGTCTATTTGAATAAAGATTATTTTGACTTTTGACTTGACTTGAGAGGAGTATCCTTATTCCTGACACTTATTATTACACAATTAGTAAAAGAAAGTACAATATCCGATTAATTTGCCAAGGGCCTCACTCAAAAAGTATAATTACGTCACTGGCTAGAATAAGTAGAACCACGTTGGAGCTCAAGATAATTATATTTTGGTCACCCATTCTACGCTACCAGCGCTAAATTAAAAAAAAAACCGACTTTATTATATCAATTGTATTGATATTTATCAGAATAAAATCCCATTGTCCGGACGGATGGTCATCCGGCTAAATAGCCGCAATCAGTTGTTTTTTTTTTATTATTTTCTTCTGACAACGAATGTTACCTACATTAATTTGCAGATATTCTAGATTTCAATTTATCTATACTTAATATTATAAAGATTTGATTTGTTTGTTTTCATTGAACAGGCTCTATATTACTGAACTTATATTTAAAATTCTTTCATTTATGCGGGTGACGTAGGCTGCAATGACGATATATATATATATAGAGGCGCCCTCTAATCATCCCGACCCCAGCGTCCGATTCGAGAGTCCAGGGCGACTCTACATCGGAGACACCCGTGAGGTGATGCCCTCCGAGTAGATAGTCTCGAGGACGATCGTCATCTCGGCTTGAGGTCCTAAGGAACTCGCCGTCCTTTAGTCCGGTTACACTGTAGAGGCCATCTAAGGGCAACAGTAACATAAAAATACATATATACAGAGTTCGAATAAATAACTTTGGTGTCGATCACACATTTTATGAATATATATTGCAGATTATTATATAAAGTGGACTTTAATCATTGTCTCAAACTGAAATACTTATACGTATTTATTAAATTATGTATTTAGTAACATATGAATCAGTTTTTTACTGTCCTATAGATGTACAATGTCAGTGTAGCGTCAGTTGCCCGCTCATAGTACATTGAATTGATGTTTTAATATTAGAAAAAAGAAAATTTGACCTTCGAAACTTGTTTTACCAAATCTCACAGCAAAAGGTCAATGTCTAAAGAAGACACAATAGTTTAATTTGATGTAATAATGCCACACGATTAAGCACCTTATCACCAGCGAACACGGATAGTAAATAAGACAATATTACGAGAACTATAATGGATCTTAATACAATGGAATAAAATCTGAAATTGTTAAGGAAGAGTTTTATTAAATTACTTCTTTTTTGAACATATATATTTTACCGGTACGCGTATTGCGTATATCAAAAATTATTAAAATTCACATTGAGTTTTTTGTGTAAACAAAAATAAAATTAATAATTTGCTTTCAAAAAGGCCGTATTAGATTTTGGCTAGAGTCGGTTGCCTCACATTAAAAAGAAAAATTTAGTTATTTACGAAGTTAATAATTGTATTATATGTTTTTTTTTCTTTTTGTATAGATTTCTTCACATTACTAAAGCGTTATAAAACAATAATTTTATAAGTGAAAGCATGTAATTGGTGAACAGTTACAGTATAATGTACTAGATTTAATATCACTGTTTGTTTTCCTAATAAAATAAAATTAATAAAATAAAATAAATATATAGGTTCTTTATATTCGATCCCGACCTCCGTAGCCGAGTGGTTCGCACGCCGGTTTCAAGGTGTCGCCATCTCTGAGGTCCCGGGTTCGATTATCGGATGGGTCAATATAGAAAATGATCTTTTCTACATTGTCTCGGGTCTGGGTGTTGTGGTACCTCCGTTGTCTCAGATACACCATAATACGGGGGCTTTAGTTGCTCATCTTGGAATCTGGGCAATATACGTCATGCTTAAAAAAAAGAACTTATTTAGTCAATTATATTCTTTGTGAAAAATGTTTAAAAATTGTTGGCCTCGAACCTATATACCATTGAGAATGCAAAACTGATCAAATACATACAATAATTAGAAAATTTTCATTCATTAATTCAAGTTTAAATATTTTATAAAAAATATCTCTTTCGGCTGTTTGTGTGGATTGCTTGGACATTGATGAAAATACGCTCTCTAGCAAAAGTAAAAAGTGACAAGTGCTTGAAAGATTCGTCAGTCGTTTTAGGTCCTGGATAGCTCAGCGGTTAGAGCAGTCGACCGGATTGCGATAGGTCACGAGTTCGAGTCCCATCTTAGAGTGCCAGGGACCAAGTGGATTTCTTAAGCGTTTTTCATTAAGGTCTTCCTTATGGATGGTTAAGGAAGATGGACCATGACCCAATGCGGATTGGAGTGTATTAACGACTGCAAATGTAGCCAGGACCGACGGCTTAACGTGCCATCCAAAGTACGGAATATTTTTTGGTCACCCATCCCGTGACAGACCCTTGTGAAGGTTGCTTCACAAAAATGATTCCGGGTTGCAGAGCTTATCTAATACGCCACCGAGCCACGCTAAAAAACTCGAAGCCCACAAGTCTATTATGTCTAATAATAGACTAGTGGGCTTAAACAAACAAACAAACCGCTCAACGCGATTGTCTTGCTCTTACGTTGCTAACACCATTAAGTTTTTTATAATTGTTTGAACGGTCGGAGTTATAATTGATAATAACTATAAATTAAAACATTAATGTTTTTCCGCAGTTGGTAAATCTCCACAATTAAATAAGCGAAGGAAAGAACCAGACACGGATTCCGTATAGGGTTGCCACATGCTCGGAATTCGTCTGGATTGTCCAGACTATTCGGATGTTCAGAAACCCGAAAAAAAAACAGATATGTCCCGACAAAAAATGTTATTCTATAAAATCGAATTCATATGGTGTTATAAAAAAATATAATAAGTAGGTATATTGTTTATATGCTGTTTATATGTTTTATTATTATGTGATCTCATTGCCAAAAAGTATATACTTGCTTTTATTTTGAAATTTAATTAATAATACTTTGATTTTTTGATTAGTATTTTTTTGGCCCGACTGTGATCCCAAAATCGCGATCTTTTCAAATATTAATGTCTCCATCTGGCAACCCTAGTTCTGTACCATCCATGAAAAATGAAAAAAAACCGCGTTTATTATATGGGAGCCCCTTCAATATTTATTTTATTATTATTTTTAGTATTTAACAGAAGTACATATATGAAATTGCAGCTGTCCAGCTGTCACGGTTCTTAGATACAGCCTGCCCTGCGATTCTGAAATAATACAGACCCGAATTCGAATTCACGGCATAGTTTAGAAATTCTATTGATACCATTTTTTTTCTATAAAAATACAAATCAAAATTGATTGAATATACGCGTCTCAGATATTCTATTGTTATGTCAATTAGAAACTCACTTCACTTATGCCATGAAACGTTATAACCAATTCAAGGTTGGGCGGATGCCGCTTTTTAAAGTGGATTCGGATACCTGAGTGAATTCGAATACGGGTTTGGATTTTTATAGAATCGCAGGGCTGGCTTCTGGTGACAGACAGACAGCGGAGTCTTAGTAATAGTATACCGTTTTTACCCTTTTGTAACGGTGTGCCGTACCACCGTTTATTTCGTCCTAGGTTTCAGCATGCAAACTCTCTGTCTTTTGTATTCAACATCATTTCTTTTTACTATTCAACTTTCGTAATTTGACATTTTGACTAATCAAATATGCTCTATATGAATGTCAGTATGTAAAAAAATCTTCTCTTGTGACCTTTCACTACCAACATACAAAAAGCAGAGTTTATAAAATACTAAATTATGAAGTAATCTGAACGAAACACTGGATTCTGGCGAAATCCACAAGGGGCAACGCCATTAATTAAAAAGAAGAAAAAGAACATATTATTTTAAATCGTATAAATTTAAATATCAATATTATGATAATGAAAATGCAATTAAAATAGTAATTATAAATTATATATATAAAAAATTGTATCCTGTAATGCGTCCATGTTTTTATTAAGAAACCCAAAAAGGGGTATGTATTTCTTTTATTTAGCAATTTTAATTTTATACTTATTTATGTAGACATACTATTTTTATATTCATTTTTTGTTTGTTACAGTTTTCTTTACTCATTATAACCGTAATATAAATCAATTCTCACACTTTGCGAATGTCATATTGCCTACAAATTTTGTGTAGACACGAAAGTAGTAGAAAGTAGAAGAAGTATTCAGTAAAGGAGAACCTAAAATAGTTAATTATAATATGAACCGTATTGCGTACGGTATTTAAAAAGGTATCTAGCACTTGGTTCATAGAGCAATTCGCAACAACTGGTCGTATTACACAACGGCGGGCGGCGTTAGATCCGCGCTGATGCAACCTCTGACATCAATAACCAGACTCCGTTGTATCAAAACTAACTTTTACAAATATTAATAATATATTTATTTATAGTTATCCTGCAAAAGTCACTTTATTCTGCTATCCTTAGTAACAGTTATCCTGCGACTTCGCTCCATTAATGCCGTCGTACAGGCTAAAGAAGGTTCTATCAACATTATAATAAAATTCGTATGGAAATTTTAGATTTACCATTATCTAAGTTTAAAACCCATATTAAGGATTGTCTACTCAGTAAAGTATATTATACTGTTAATGAATATTTAAACGACAAACTCTTTGGTGTTAAATATGGCTTATTCTTATGTATATTAAATGATTTATCGGTGATTCGATTGACGTAAATACTGTTTCCTTTTTATATTTTCTAATATTGTAATGGAAAGTGACTTCATATTTTAATGAAGTTATTTTTCAAATTTGACGCTCTGTATGAAATAAAACAGGGTAAAAAAGCGACCCTTGCCGAGTTTCTTGCCGGTTCTTCCCGGTACAAGGTCTCCCGCCGTTGATTAACGAACCGATGGCGTAGCTCTCGACTTTCACAAGTGCTTGTAACAACCTAGACTGAATAAATAATTTTGATTTAATTAAACTTAACGAGTATGATGTAGGTTCTCGTAAATGAAATAATTTTAAAAATATTAACGTATTTTCTCTTATAAAGTCTCTACAATGTTTTTAATATTTGAATCCTTAAAACGGCAGTCAATGAACTACTCAGAGAAGCACTACAGCCACTGATCCTTAGGGGTCTCCTCGATGGCGCCTTTTAATTCGCGTTCATAGTGGCGTTTTCCCGAAGTTTTTCTTTTATTTCCGCGCAAGGTTCGAGTGACCCATAGACAAGTATATAATCAAAGAATTCCACGTTTGTCGTGGCCAAACAGTCGAGTTTGCGTGGTCGTTTCCCCCTAACTTTTTCCAAGACAAGTGACAATCAGTTACTAGTGTACCACTCTGGCGTTTTAAAGAATTGTGCGAACGATGCCACCAGGTTTTCTCCTACGCTTCTATCTTCACTTTAGTTTGCAACTCTTCGAAAGGAAATTCCTTTTCTATATTTTGCGTTTACTACATATTTTGCGTTTACTACATTAACCCGACAAAGTTAAACATCCAACGATTTTTTACCTACCATCCTTTCGAATGATAAGAAGAATGAAAGAAAGAAACTCACCAGCTCTAACAGAAGTAACGACATATACGAACCTCACCAAACCATGTCCCCACCTGCCGGCAATCAAGCCCGTATTAGAGATAGAACGTCTCGAAGACTCATCAAATAAATGTTCATTGGGTTCGAGTTTTACCTCTGGTTACCTGGGATCGGTGGATCGTTTTTCAGATATTTATCATTGTGATGTAAAATTATTGTGTAATTCCAGTAAGCATGCGGCGGTCCCGGTAGCATGGCCGCCTTGTTGGCGCTGGCGTGGCTGGCGCTTGCGCGGGGGGCGGGTGCGGGTGCGGGTGCGGGGGCGGGGTGGTGCCCCCCCGCGTGCGCGTGCGCCATCGTGGAGTGGGAGCAGGACTACCAGTGCGGGGGGGTGCACGTGCGAGCGCTCACCAATGACTTCGCCAAGATCACGTGCAAGGTGGGTTATTCATGGGATGGGTTTTTAGTGGCAAATATCCTCCGTTCCACGTCGGGTCAGCGTGAAGGGTTTTAACCGAAGACTTCTAATCCTCGTATTCGAGCTGTTCTGAACTATAATCGTGACACGTTGGGGGCGCTTTTCCGTCTTCCTCCCTCAGAAGGAGTACTCGACGACTTAGCGAGTAGTTTTCCAGTATCCGAACAGCCCGTTTAGTTATACATAGAAGGTTTTAGCCCTTTTTTTTTTAACCATCCGTACTCCTTGAACTACTGCCGTTATGACGTAAAAAGGCTGATGATGGGTCACTTATACATATTAAATTACAAAAGCCAGTCTTCCGACAGATTTTCCGGTAATGTAAAGATAAATATACTGTATTTTTTTTCTATTCCGCGCTCTATAATTTTCTCATTTCAAAATCTATCACACCACCTTTCAAAAGTATAGCGATTGTGTTAGGGAGTTATTGAATAATGTAACATAAAGTTTTAAGTGAAAATATATGATATCTTGCATTCAATATTTTTAAACACATGTGTAATAGTTGTAACGTGAAGTTCGCGCACATCTTTCAAATGTCAAAGGAATTGTGATTGATTTTAAAATTAGACAAGTGTACCTGCGCTTATTTACTTTTATAACTTTAAAATTATTCACCTTAAAAAAATAATAATAGTCCTTATTTGATGTGTCAACTGTAGTATCACTCTATAGTTTGCGCAATTTTTACTGTGATATATGATAATGCAACGAACAGTCTTAATGTTGTTACTATTGGTTCGGTAGGCTTGCAGAAAAAATATCGATGTATCGATATTTTGAATTCAATATATCGATATTAAAACCGATATATATTGAACCGATGTATCGAAATATCGATACCAAATATCCAGTATCGAAAATTGTATCGAAAACGATATTTTTTTCATTCTTATGGCACTGAAGTCGCTGAAACCCGAAACTGAAGGAGATAGGATCGAACGAACAAAAACTATATTGTCTATGACTATATTCTTGATATATTTGTAATTTTGTCTAATTAAAAGGAACACTGGTAAAATACTTTCGTGTTTATTGCGATTTAATCGATATATCGATATTTTTCCTTTGATATATCGATAAATATCAATTCATCAATCTATCTATTTATTTATTTATTTACGACACATAACAGATTACAATCAATTTCATTACAAATAGTATTAACAAGTTATTCGATTCTGATCATAAACCAACAGCATGTGTCTTTTATAATAACTAAACGTGTTATTTTAGAATTTAACTTTTCAATTTTCAAAAATTAAGTATTTGGAATATAATTAAATAGTATTAAGAATTGTAATTACAGTTTCAATAAAATAAATTAATGATCACAAATCAAATTAAAATAATAAATTATTACCTTCTCTAAAATTAATCAGACAAAGCGAATTAAATCGTAAAACAAATTAATCATTACATTATGGTAAAAATTTTCTAATTGTATTAATAAACAAGTTTCTGTTACAATTAAATATATCAATATTTTTTTTATTATTGATATTTTTTATCGATATTTTTTTTTCATTTTCGACAGCCCTAGGGTTCGGCATAAAAATTAATGCAATTAAATTCATTAAGGTTGTCCTCGGTCCTATCGATGTATTAATTATTAAAGGCATTACCAAAAAGTTCTTGAACAGCCACCCGTTCCTTTCTTCTCCAGTGGCTGTTCTATTACCACCGTTCCAATGTATACCAATATGACACAGGTAGTTTCAACACTATTAGCGTGATTCATTAGCGTATAACGCCATCTATAATAGTAATGCGTCGACAAACCTCCGCGCTCCGTAACAATATTACTAATGCCACAAACGATTGCCAATCTACAGGACGTGAAGGACTTGTGTGCGGAGATGCCCACCATCGGCATATCCAGCAACGACACGTTGAACAGCGTGAGCCTGTCCGGGTGTCCGGTGCCGGACGCGTTCGCGTGCCTCCTGCGGCGGCTCGGCGCCACCGACGCGCTGAAGGTCACGCTCATGGCGCCCGCGGGGGCACTGACCTCGCGCCACGTGGAAGGCCTGAGGAATACCACTATGCTGGTGTTGATGAAAGCTGGTAACGACATATTATATGCACACAAACAAACACACACACACATAGAGACAGACAGACATAATCATATCATTAAACTTGGCATATCAATCAAATAATGCATAATGTGTAAAGTTAATTATTATACGAGTACTATTACATTGATTATTAAAATTAAAAAATCAAAACACTGTATACTTTGTGAAATCGTAATATTTGGCATTTACTGAATACTTTTTAATTGTTTAATGCAGAATGAACAAAAATTCCTTTGCGTAGCAAAAAATTGGATAAAAAAGTTTTACCGTTTTGGCGGTCTTCTCGAACTTCTTGAATTTGAGACACGTGTGGACTGCAGCCACGAATATTAAATAAATTGTTTCTAAATAGTCTTTAAGGCTAAATATTACCTAATTATAGATAAACAAATTAATGTTACACGAGTGTGTTAAAATAATTTTTCTCTTATGTTGAAAAGTGCGGTGTTTTCATTTTATAAACTACAGTGAACCGAAGAAAAGAAACTGCCTATAGATAACTAGCATTGAGCTTCGTACACATCAATAATTGCATTCACCTGGATTGAGCTCCCGTCATAAACGATAATAATCCATACTAATATTATAAAGCTGAAGAGTTTGTTTGTTTGTTTGAACGCGCTAATCTCAGGAACTACTAGTTCGAATTGAAAAAATATTTTTGTGTTGAATAGACCATTTATCGAGGGAGGCTTTACGCTATATGACATCACGCTGCAACTATTAGGAGCGAAGAAATAATGGAAAACGCGGACGAAGTCGCTGGCGGCCACTAGGTGAACAATATACTGGGTATTTGCAGGTCGAGCATAGCTCAGTGCAAAAATCATAGGCAATTCCTAAACGAAATATTGTAAATGTTGAATAAATATATTTTCATTTTGTTTTTAATATGTAGCGATAATTTTTGAAGTAGCTTTAAGATGTTTGTCTGTTCTCGTTTAGTATTTATGAGTAGATTACGCGGATTACACAGTAAAATCAAGTGCAGGGCCAGGGCTTCGAGTGTTTCTGTATTTACCCAGTATTTTTACTCTACTAAATGGATTTTGATGAAATTTGGTATAATGATAGGGTATTAGCTGACTTAGACAATAGGATAATTTTATCCCACTGAACATTTCCCTAGGGTCCACGCGGGCGAAGCCGCTGGCGAAAGCTAGTCATATATACTATGACGTACGTTACGTGGATCTCTGCTTCAGACGCGGTCACTTGACATTTTTTCGTTAAAAATAAACATACATTAAGTATGTAATAACTGAGTACTCTACATCCGTTTTCACTAACCTAGAACAAGGCATAGCTTAACTAGGAAACGCCTAATATTACGAATCGCCTAAACAGATTATTTTAATTTCTGGTTTTATTTCGGGAACTAATGTTTTTTTTTAATACTTCTTCATTGTATTAATATTTCTATTTCTATTTCTATTAATATTATTGAATTTATTTGTAATGCGCACAGCCTACCTACATTATTGTTATTATTGCTTCTTCCAGTATAGGTTGCCTGGAAGAAATCGCTGTTAAGTGATAAGGCCACCTATTGTGCAAATATTTTAATGTTTGTAAGTTTCTCTTTATTTATTTCTGTCGTGTGTTGTACAATAAAGTGTTTTTATCTTATCTTATCTTAAGCGTAGATACATTCGTTTCCAGCCGATCAAACGAGAGTCCCCTACGATGTCCTGACGGCACTCCCGGCACTCCGCGACTTTAGACTGCGCGGTGCTAAACTGCAGCTGCCGACTGACGAGTCCAGCGACTTGGACGAGTCCAGCGAGTTTCCCGCGCATCCGTCGCTGCAGTTCGTCGAGTTGTCGTCAGATCTGATCGAGGAAGTGCCTCCGGCGGCGTTCACTAGACTGAGGGGAGTGCCGCAGCTACACTTGTGGGACAACAGGATCAGCGGGATTCACAATGATTCCTTTATTGGTGAGAATACTACGTTTTATTTATTTATACTTCTTGCGCAAATGTACAATGGCGGACTTGATGCCGTAGGCATTTTCTGCCAGTTAATCTTAGGATTCAATTCAATATTGTGGTAACTTGATATGCCATTATCTGTACAATATATATAACGGCGGATAGTCAGAAGGGGCTATTACGAAGCCCGAATAGATCGCCCATATCGGGGGACTATCTTTAAAATAACACCACACGCGTGTATACCGACGTGGATTTGTTCCAATTTATCACTTTTCATACGAAAATATAACGAGATGAGCGTGATGTCGTCGGATGTGTTTACTAATCGGCGATAGGAAACAGAATACGTGACAAAATGGCAGCAACTTGATTTTGTTAACGAACTGTTAAAGTCATCGATAAAAGTATCGATGATCACGCCCTCTCTACAATCGAGTAATTAAGTAATCGAGTAACTAGCAATTAAAATAAAAGAAACTTAATCAAACGCTCTTCGTAACGATGTTGGAGATATTCTGCTACATATATATATATATATATTAGAGATGCACCGAATATTCGGTTACTATCCGGTATCCGGCTAATCCGGCCCATTTTTTACTATCCGGCCGGATACCGGATGGTAATGTACTATCCGGCCGAATACCGGATAGGTAGTAAACTTGTTGTTAGATCTACATAATAAAAAAAAACAGTTGTAAAGTTGTAATCCAAGTTTTTTATTAGTTTAAACAACTTTTATAAATCAATTATTTTAATTAATTTGGTGATAATATTCATAGTAAAAAAAGTTACTTATTTGTAACTAGTAAGATAACAGTTGTAATCCAAGCTTTTTATTATTTTAAACAACTTTTATAATAAATCAATTATTTTAAGTAATTTGGTGATAATATTGATATTTTAAAAAGTTACTTATTTGTTACTAGTAATGTAATATTAAATAATTTAGTATTGAAAATCCACTAAAGGTAAATTGTGATTTATAAAAACAAGATTTTCTGCATTTTTAGGAAGCAAACGATTCCTCTTGTTTTCATATATAAGCCCGGCCTCTGAAAACAGTCTCTCACTGTATACACTGCTAGATGGAGAAGAGAGATATATTTGGGCAAATTTAACCAAAATCGGGAATTGTTTGGCGTTTGCTGCCCACCATGCGTAAGGGTTACTTTGTCGATCAAGACGAACCATCTTTAAGTAAAAGTCAAGTTGATTGGCTATAGCACTTTTACCAGAGTCTTCAGTCTGATCTTTGGCAACTTCATTAAAGCAGTCCCAAAATGTTTCATGAATACCCATGCCATAGCCTGCTCTTTTCTTCATTGGAGGTGAATCGCCTTCACTGCTGACTGAATCCTCTTCACTGCAACATAGTTTTAGACTCTCCAATAAGAGTCTTTGGCGAGCCTTTTCTGCTTGTATTACCCCAAAAAAATTGGTCTTGAACCTGGGGTCCAATAATGTAGCCAGGAAATACTTTGGATTTTCATCAAGATGTTCGAAGCGTTGTTGCAATTGAGTTTTCAGGGACGTTAGAAATTGTAATAAGTTAGGGACTTTGCGTGAAGTTTCTTCTTTTTGAATGTACCTCATCAAAACCGCCACATGAGGTATAACTTCTGAAATGCATGACAAACCTGAGCTCGTGATCTTCGTTATTTCCTCGAACGGTTTGAGGAGAATGATGCATTGCTCCATTAAACTCCATTGCTGAGGAGTCAAGTTGCTAAGTTTATTGTGGTCGGCTATATACAAAGAAATAGCGCGTTTCTGTTCTAGCAGCCGCTCTTGTAAATAGTACGTCGAGTTCCAACGTGTACTGATATCTTGCACCAACCGATGTTCTGGTAACTTCAACTCTGTTTGAATTGCCTTCAGTTTTTCTTGTGCTAATCCTGAATGATTGAAATGAGTTACGATTCGTCTTGAGGCATTCAGCATCTCTATTAAATCAGGTTGAGTTTTAAGTGATTCGGTAATGACCCGCTGGAGAGAGTGAATAAAACACCGAGCTGAATCGTATTCAGCCACTTGAACTCCTTTTATCATGTTAGCCCCACTATCATGTACAATAACGTGTATTTTATTTAACGGGATATTCCAACGTGCAGCGATAATGTTAAGTTCGTTAGCTATGTTTTCTCCGGTGTGAGACCCTGAAAAGGGCTTCATTGCCAAAACGCCATGTTCCAGTTTGAAATCTGGAGATATCCAATGGGCGGTGAAGCTCAAAAAACTTTCATTATTTTGGTCACAAGTCCATATATCTGACGTAATGGAAACCACTGCAGCGTTTAAAATATTTTCCATAATTTTTTTGGTAATTCGTTCGTATATGTCCGGTATTATTTTTTCAGTCATATAAGTGCGACTGGGCAACTTATATCTAGGCAGCGCTTTCTGCATGAGTCTATTAAATCCAACTCGGTCAACAATGGATAGTGGTTCGTTATCCAACGCGATCATTTCGCCTATCAAATAGTGAAATTCCTTCGACTTCGAATCATTTATCCCCCAATATTGTTTTCGCTCAACAGTTTCAGCTAAAGTTAATTGTTTTTGCAAGGACGGTTGAGAGGCCGCGGCACATGTACTTGCAGTTGAGCTCGTAGAAATAGCAGTTCCGACATCTGAAGACGAACCACCATAAATTTCGCTAAACTTATCAGAATGCTTGGCTTTCAAGTGGTTTTTCATGCACGAGGTTCCAGCTTTCTTTCCCTCTCCACCACGTGAAACTTTTAATTTGCAGATTAAACAAATAGCGTATTTAGCTTCTTCTTTATCTATCTCAAAATAATTCCAAAGCGGAGACCTTCTTGTTGCCATTTTTCATGAGCACACTAATGACACAGTAGGTAAAAGTTAATTAATTCAAAACCACTCTAACACCACCAACTTGTTTTCTTATGAAAAATTACGCGAGCATACTTTTAAATGAAGCTGTTCCGTACTGACTGACACGATAAAACAATTTCCATTACTAAGAACTGTCCCGCGTGAACCACTACGAAACAAGTTTAAACCTGCACGGGCGGGCGGGCGGCACGCGACGCGGACCTACGAAACTTAAAATGTAGGTATCATACCGCAGGCCGAATATTCGGCGGCCGGATACCGGATATTCGGCTGGTGGTCAGGCCGAATATCCGGTATCTGGTATCCGGCCAAACAACTATCCGTTGCATCACTAATATATATATATATATATATATATATATATATATATATATATATATTTTAGTTATATAAATACCATTTCATTATCCTTAAGGTATGGAGAGTCTAGAAGAGTTGGACCTGTCTCGGAACCCTCTGAAGTGGTTGTCCCCGGGCGTGTTCTCTCATACACCAAAGCTGAAGGTCCTCACTCTGGTGGCCACAAAACTGGAGGAGATACCCACGGGGGCCATCACGGGACTGCAGGCGATGGAAGAGGTGTTAATATAATTTATACTCTAAACGAGACGAATGGTCCTTTTTAGGTGGCTTTTATACTTATTTTATGATTTATATATTTTTTGAATTTTCGTCTTTTGTCAATGTTTAGTTTTTTGCTGTTTGTCTTGTGTCTTGAGCTTTATTTATTTATTTACACCAACATATACAACATATATAATAAGGGGCCATCCATAAATTACGTCACAGGTTAGGAGGGGGAGTGGGGGGGGGCAACGAACTGTGACATTAGAACAATATTTAGTAGAATTTGTAAAGACAAACATGTGACAGGAGGGGGGGGGGGGGGTTTAAAAAATCGTGAAGGTATACACAACATTAATAAACTTTTTCTTTGATAAAATTAACTTATTATTTAATTATATATAGCCCATTGTGCTTTCTATCGATTACAAGGAGATTGAAGGAAATTTTCCCACAGCGTAATAAACAAACTGTTATACTCTGTAAGATATTGAGAATAGTAGTCTATGATTAAAAGATAGTTAAAAGATAGAAGTTGAGTCTATGGTAAGGAAATATTGGTGTGTGTAAAGATGGCGTAACTATTAGAATAAAAATCTTTAATTAAAGTCTTATTTTAATTACTAAAAAGTGAATCCTTAGGAACAACTTAACATACTCCACTAACATACCAGAGGCGTAATTATCTTATTTTAAAAGAGATACAATCCCTTTCAATTTGACATTTGAATGACGTTCACGTACTAAATTCTGTTTTGACGTTTTTCTAAAGATATTGAGTATACGTTATAATATTATTTTCCGATATATCATTTGGTCCGCGCTATATCTTTGAAAATGGCAACAAATGGCCCAAGATCGAGAAAAATGGAAAACTTTGGAGGAGGCCTTTACCTGAGAGGGGTTCCACTAGGGTTGCCAGATAGTAACTTATCAAATCCGGGACAATTCTACAAAAAATATGTTGGCTCATGGTTATAATAGAAAATATCTTAAATATATATTTTTTCGTATTTGTATTTAAAAGGAAAAACGCCATTTATTTTCAAATACATACTTTTATTAGATATAGGTATGTACTAAGTAGATAATTAACTCCAGTTATAATTCTGAGATGAAACACTGTGGTAGTAAATCACACGTTAAACTAATTGAGCACTTCGTTTATTTTGTAAAAAAATAATAAGTTTCCAGAATCCGGGACAATAAGCGCTAATTACTGGACACGGGACAAGAGGCAAGATTCCGGGACAATCCCGGATTTCCCGGCGGTCTGGCAGGCCTAGGTTCCACTAATAATTAGAAGATAGAATATATTAGTACATAGATATCATTAGATATAAGTACCAACTCATTCTAGTAAAATATATAAATACCAATTGTAGGTACCTATAACAGCAACTAATCTTCACTCTTAATGTAAGTCTGGAAATAAAAGGCTTTTTTTTATTTTTATTTATTTATATCTTTGAAAGTGATTACGATTATCTAGCTATAAAATAGTTAGATAATAATGCCACGGAAAGAGCTGCATTGCTTTATTCTTCAAAAGTAAAATAATGTCACTTGAGCGGAAGCGGATATTGTAATTGTGTATAATAAAAGAAAAGCTGATTTGACTAGTCCTACTGTAGGTAGTTGCTAGTTTATGGGCCATTATTGTATCGGACGCGATGGCGTGTAGACGTGTATCCAAAGCAGGGTTAAAGTGTTGTTGAATTTGGAAATTTAATTACACAAAAGGGATGATGACTGGGTAAAAAAAATGCAATTCTATTTAGTCCGTCAGTCGGATAATAGAAAAATATTAGATACGTATATTTTTTTTTTTACTTCAATTTAACAAGAAATAGCTTAGATAACAGGCATTAAAGTTGAGGAGTGGGGGCTCGCTACGTCACAGTTGAGTAGAAAACGTACTCTAACGTGACGTCATGCGAAATTTCAACTCAATGTAACGCCGTAATTTTATGATTACGAAAAAATAAAAAAAAATACGTGTTTCATATTTTTAACACTCTACCAGACGGACAAACAAAAAGTTATTTATTTTACAGATTATGATAAAATTCGGCAGTAATCAGATGACATTCGGAGATCGAGCTTTAGCCGATTTACCCTCCCTCAAGAAGCTTACTATAGATCGCTGCAAGACTTCACCATTACCTTCGGCCTTATTACACGGCGATGTGAAACTTCAAGAGCTGGTGGTGACCGGTTCTGGTGTTCAGGGGATTCCGAAAGGATTTTTCGACGGCCTCGTGAATCTACAAGTGCTCGATTTGAAGGATAACGCGATTAGAGTGCTCGATAGTGATGTATTCCGGCCGCTTAGAGCGCTGCAGCGGCTTAATTTGAACGGGAACCGAATAGAAGTTTTGCCCGCGTGAGTTTAATACTAATATTATAAATTCAAAAGTATGTATGTTTGGTGCTCTTTCACGCGAAAAATACTGAACGGATTTTGATAAAATTCTCAACCTGTATTAATGTATAGGCTAGGGGCCGTCAATTAATCACGAGATTTTTTTATTTACATTTTTGACCCCCCCCCCCCTCTTCTCCCCCTTAGTGATACATGGTGAGATTTAAGACTATCCCCTCCCACCTTCAACCAAATCACGTCTATTAAAAAAAAAATACTCGTGATATATTACTACACTCCCCACCCCCCTTGTGATATTTGGTGAATTTTAACGAATCCCCCCCCCCCTCAAGCCTCACGTGATTCATGGACGGCCCCCACTTATGATCTTAACAAACGGTTTTATTAATAAAAAAAAATAGACTTAAAAAAAAAATCGAAAAATTAATTTGCATTTAGAATGCAATATTAATTAATATCTACAAATAATAAAATTCATAAAGGTACAATAAGCGTTTAATTATAAGAGATATTTGATAAACTTCATTTGAATAGGGAATTCCTTTTTTAGTGAATGTTAGTGAATTCTTTTTGTTGCATACATTCATACATTTTCACATTCACACACTCGTACATTCACACATACATTCATTCATCATCATCATCACCAGCCCTTTTACGTCCCCACTGCAGGAACTCAGGCCTTCCTTATAGATGGTTATGGAGGATGGGCTATGATCTACCTCACTGGCCCAATGCGTCTTAGAGGGATTTAACGACTGCAAATGCAGATGGGACCAACGGCTAAACGTGTCTGTCAAAGCACGAAGTAGCTCGAGATATTTTTCTTTTCGGTCACCCATCCCGTGACCGACCATAGTGAAAGTTGCTTAACAAAAACAAAGTTATAATCAGTGATTTCTCGTTTACCACTTTAATACTTTTACTTTAACATTCACTTGATGTTTAATTTAAAAATTAACGTGTTTACAGACAACTATTCGCCGGCTTAAGGAGACTGATCTCGTTTTCGGCCGATGCTAACCAGATGAGGAGCATCGCGGACGACGCCTTCCAGGGCGCTGTCAACTTGCAGACTCTGTCCTTAGCTCAGAACCGCCTCACTCTGTCCAATCAGGAGACTGAAGACGCGGGGTGAGTGTGAACACTGCCTTAATGGAACAGTTAAACACTTATTTGTCTTTATTTAAACTTATAATATAGTAGTTTATGCAACAGTCATATAAGGAGGGGTATTAACACACGAGAGTCTGTTTATATGTATATATATATATAGCATCATCCTTACGAAGATCGCTTGATTTAGTTACTTTTTTAAAATTGTAAGTTACTCGATTACTTAATTACTCGATTGTAGAGAGAGAGCGTAATCATCGATACTTTCAATTTTATTAGAATGGCAACACTGACTTTGACAGTTGGTAAATAAAAAGCAAGTTGCCGCCATTTTGTCATACATTCTGTTCCCAATCGTCGAGTAAACACATCCGACGACATCACGCTCATCTCGTTATATTTTCGTATGGAAAGTGATAAAATGGAAGAAGTCCACGTTGGTATACACAGCTGCAGTATTATTTTAAAGATAGTCCCCCGACATGGACCATCTATTCGGGCTTCGTAATAGCCCCTTCGGACTACCCGCCGTTATATATAATATTTATCGCAAGTCGCGGCGCTTATCCAATACGCCATCGAGCTACTTTTGTTTCATAGATAGAGTGTTTCAAAAGGAAAGTTTTTATGTCTGTAAATGCCTGTAAAAGTTGCTTAACGACAACGATCGCGTTGTCGTTAAGCAACTTTCGCAAGGGTCGGTCACGGGATGGGTAGCCAAAAAATTATTCTCTCACTACTCCGTGCTTCGGAAGGCACGTTAAGCCGTTGGTCCCGGGTGCATTTGCAGTCGTTAATATCCTCCAATCCGCATTGGGCCAGCGTGGAGGGTCATGGCCCATCCTCCTTAACCATCCATAAGGGAGGCCTGAGCCCCTGCAGTGGGGACGTAAAAGGGCTGGTGATGATGATAAAAAACTCTCGTGTGTTAATACCCCATATTATATGACAGTTGCATAAACTACTATATTATGCCAACGCATAATGTTAATTAATGTCCTTTAATAATGACATTGGTTTGTCAGTTTGTATATATTTATGATCGCTAGATGGCAGTGACGTAAGTGTTTTCTATATACGTGATAGTTTACATATATTTCTACATCGCGTATATAAGTTTGTTTACCAAACACTTATATACTTCAACGTTTATTTGAATAAATAACCTTTGTCATAGAACCTTGTGTTTTATTATATATATAAGATGAATGAATGTATGAGTGTATGTATCTGTACCCTCCCCCCCCCCCAGGTACATGCAGGTGGAACGCTACTCCCCCTTCAGCTCCCTGTCCCGCCTGCGCGTGCTGTCGCTGTCCCACAACCAGATGGCGCGCGTGTGCCACGACTGGCAGTTCCTGCTCATCCAGGAGCTGCGGGTACTGGATCTGCGGTACAACAATTACACCACACTCACGGTACGTATCCATATATAACATCCATCATATATACAAAATGCTTAAAAAATCCATTTGGTCCCTTGCACCCTGAGATGGGAATCGAACCCACGACCTTTCGTAATTCAGTCGACTGCTCTCTCTCTCTTTCTCTCTCTCTTTTTTTAATATTTTTCAAATGCAAAATTAATCAAAATATAATAATCCATCATATATGCACCCTACTTACTTTTATTATACTTAATACCTAATTATTTTACCTAATACCTAATTTATTATACTTAATATAATTATTATACTTTTATTATACTTAGTCCCACCACTTCCTAAACTTGAATGGCCGTTGTCTAAGACATATACCAAAAATTATCTTACTCCCATTATTAAATGATAATGTTACTCTCTCTTTATTTACAATGGTAATAACATGGTTTTTGTAAATGTCATTACTCCTATTAGAGCTGGTGAGTTTGTTATTACCAGAGGTCGGAATTAGGCAGAGTTATTTATGTACTTGCATCGAAATGTTGATATTAATGTGGACCTTCCCGGGATTTCTAATGGACAATCTTGGACATCTTTGGACATCCGATGTCATCGATGTAAGTTTGGCAACGTCGTGCGTGCAGTAGTTTAAATTGTGTAAAAGTAAATAACTTTTTATTTAAAAAATCACGGGATATTTTCTGCTCTTTAAAATTAATCTCGGAATTTGAGGCATATCCACTTTATTCTTTCGCTGTATGAAATCAGTGTAAGTACATGAATAACTCTACCTTATTCCGACCACTGGTCATTAGTTTGTTTTGTTTTTAATATTTAAAATAGAATGTTTTGCTGATTAAGTAGTAAGTATATAATTAAACTAAGCTCTACTCGTCTGTCACACAGGTTGACCTAGTTAAGACATTTTTGTTAGTTCTTTTAATTTTTAAAGGGTTTTTTTATATTTCTATTTCACTAGGGAATTTTTACAGCATTTACTACAATTTATCTTAAATTTATCAGTAATTTACATAATTCTTATGCAATGATAGATTTGGGCTCTGCTTAAATACTTTGAATTAATCCAATATATAAAACATCTAGTTCAGACAGAAACTAGAAATGTTAACACACAGACCATACTACTAAGAATAATAATAATAATATTCTTTATTGCACGCTAGACAGGACATAATACAGAGAAGATCGAAAAAAGAGAAAGATTACAAAGGGCGACCTTATTGCTACGTAGCAATCTCTTCCAGGCAACCCGAGGCAAAGAAGTACATGAACTATATAATAAAAAGACTAAATACTAATGTTGATGTATACAAAAAAAATATAGTAAGAGCTATATAATACGCTAAAATGTTATATTAACCAAATGTAATTCATGAATGACTAACTTTCGCCAGCGGATTCGCCCGCGTGGACCATAGGGAAATGCTTAGTGGGATAAAAAGTATCCTATTATCTAAGTCAGCTAACACCCTATCTGTATACCGAATTTCATCAAAATCCGTTCAGTATTTTCGGCGTGATTGACGGACAAACATCCAAACAAAGAAACTTTTACATTTATAATATTAATAGGATTATTATCATTAATTGCAGAGGGAGGACGTCCAATTCCTGAACGCCAACATTACAATAGACATGAGACAGAACAAGATTGAAACCATAGACGTATCCGAAGCACCCACCTGGTTGTCTCTGGAGGAAACGCCCAAGAACACGTCCTCCGTCATGTTGCTGGACGAGAACCCGTTCAAGTGCGACTGCCAACTGTACACCTTCGTCAGGAGACTGAGAGGAAGCAGACGATTGGTCGCTGAACCCAATTTATATCCAGGGAACGCGACGTGCTCATCCCCCCCACATCTCAAAGGATATCTAGTGAGGGATCTGACTCCGGACTTGCTGATTTGTCCGCTGAGAGACGAGGATTGTCCAGAAAACTGTATTTGCAACGTGCGTCCCGCCACCGAGTCTCTGGAACTGAATTGTGATGTGGAACCGAAGAAATATCCTGCGCCCGATGAATTCGGACTAACAAAGATGTATCTGACATTACGCAGACCGCCAAAGAACTTGGAGACTCTACCAGATTACGTCGTCTTCTTGAATTTAAGCGGAACAGGGCTGACTGAAGTTTCTGGTGTACCAGAATCGGTGAAACAATTGGATTTGTCCAATAATCTCTTGAGGCATCCTCCTGCGGAGTTGATCAGAGATATATCTGTATATCTGCAAGGCAATCCGTTCGTCTGCGATTGCTCCCATGTGGAAAGCGTGAATCTTCTGCAAATCAACATGGTTAAGATCCCGGATTTCGGGAACGTCACTTGTATCGGGGGCGAGTCGCCTTGGAGAATTAATACGGCGAGACTTTGCGATGTCCAAAGGGCGATTATACTAGGCGGAGCCCTAGCGGCTTTCGGCGTTATAATAGCCGTCGCCGCAGCGTTGGCCTACAAGTATTCCTTGCAGATCAGAGTGTTTCTGTTCTCCAAAGGTTGGTGTCTGAAAATGCTCAAAGAGGAAGAGCTCGACCACAACATGGAATACGATGCGTTCGTCTCGTTTTCGCAAAAGGACGCCCGTTGGGTCGCCGAAGAATTGGTGCCCAAGTTGGAGGGAGAGAGAAACCTCCGTCTGTGCGTTCACTATCGGGATTGGTTGGTGGGCGATATGATACCGGCCCAGATCGCGAGATCGGTGGAACAGTCCAGAAGAACGATCATTGTCCTGTCGAAGAATTTCCTGGAATCCTCTTGGGCTCTTCTGGAGTTTCGCGCTGCACATTTGAGGTCCCAACGCGAGAGGAAAGCGAGAGTCCTAGTCGTAGTGTTGGAAGATTTGCCTTCGGAAAACGATATGGACGCCGAGTTGCGTGCGTATTTGTCTACGAACACGTATCTGAAATGGGGGGACCCGTGGTTCTGGGAGAAGTTGATATACGCGTTGCCGCATCGCCGTTCCAAACTTGTTCTGGACAAATCCCGCGGGGGGGCGCTGCAGACGAGACTCACCGCCGACGGGAAGATCTTCAACGGCTCCTTGAAAGTGGACGATGAACTAACTAAATATTGAAACTGTTATATTCGTCTTATTATAAAACGAGGAGTAACTTCAGTACTTATGCAATTCTCAATTTGCTCTTCTTTTTTTTAATTAATGGCTTATCTTAATGGCTTATCTGCGAATTTCACACAATTCTGCCAATGTCAAGTGGATAAATTAATTATTACATGTAAAAAATGGCGAAAACACCAGTAAAAATTAGTCTGCCAATGGTTTAAGTCAGACACTAACTATCTAACTATACTCCTCTTCGTTCACTGAATAGTATAGTGGCAAAATTCAAAAACCATTTTTTCGAAAATACGCCACATTATTGTGGAAGCATCCCATAGATAATTTAAAGAAAAAATAAAAAACTTAACTGTAATAATATAATACAAAGGATTTAACTGTTATGCTAAAAAAAAATGTAGTATTCAGTGAGCGACTTAAAAGAGGGTATATGTTTATATAATCTTTGTTTTTAATAGTTTTTACGGTAGCTTTGGACTTTATGTTGAAACAAAGAAGTCATCTGTAGTGTAGTGTATTTACATTAAGATTACATGCAATTTATATTTAAATTCATTATTAATAGGTTTGTTGTGGAATTTTAAAGAATTGTGCGATTTTATGGTGCAAATCTGATGAAAGACTATTCGATATTTTTATCAGTTCTAATATTATCAGATTTATTTATGCAAGTCCTTACAGTTGAGACAGTCCAGTGTCCTCATGTAAATGGACCATGAATACAATACCATCGGTTATAGGTAAGTATGCAGCAGAAATCTCGAGAAGAACTGACAATTAACTCTGCGAGGTTAGTTTTTTTTTTAATTAATTTGGATCAAGATATATATTAAATAAATTTTGAAAACATTGTATACACAAGATGAATTATGAAACAGTGTGTATTTTACACACGGCGTGTAGTCAGAAGGTGCTATTACGAAGCCCGAATAGATCGTCCATATCGGAGGACTATCTTTAAAATAACACTGCACGCGTGTATACCGACGTGGACGTGTTCCATTTTATAACTTTTCATACGAAAATATAACGAGATGAGCGCGATGTCGCCGGATGTCTTATCGGAAACAGAATGTGTGCCAAAATGGCGGCAATTTGCTTTTGTTAATGAACTGTCAAAGTTAGAAGTATCGATGATCACCAGAGGTCGGAATTAGGTAGAGTTATTTCTGTACTTGGATCGAAATGTTGATATTAATGTGGACCTTCCCGGGATTTCTAATGGACAATTTCTAATTCTTTGGACATCCGATGTCATTGATGTAAGTTTGGCAACGTCGTGCGTGCAGTAGTTTAAATTGTGTAAAAGTAAATAACTTTTTATTTAAAAAATACACGGGATTTTTTCTGCTCTTTAAAATTAGTCTCGGGATTTGAGGCATATCCACTTTATTCTTTCGCTGTATGAAATCAGTGTAAGTACATGAATAACTCTACCTAATTCCGACCACTGATGATCACACTCTCTCCACAATCGAGCAACTAGCAATTTATAAAAAAATAAACTAAATCAAACGATCTTCGTAAAGATGATGCGACATATATTATATCAGAACTAATTCTATAAATTTTCGTGCTATAAAATATTTGAGTAATTCTTTGATCATTTAAAAAGTTCAAATAAATATATATATTATACAAATAATACCTAACCTGTGATTTGAGTGACTCCATCTAGCGTCAAAGTATGGAATCTAGTCTTGCATACATTAATGACGGTAAGCTAGAAACTTCCAGAACAAATAAAGTGTAAGTCTCTAATAATACTATACGGGTCCATTGTTTTGTTTATATTGTAATCTCAATAATAAAGTTATGATCTGTATTACTGAATAATATTGATTGTTAGTATATTTAAAGCAAATAATTATGTAAATAAATATTAAATTGTCGCGGCGGGTTTTGAAAGTAGTAACGTATTTTAATTATATATGTAATTAAGACGCTGTCATATACTTTTATAAATTCAATAACAATTTTCTAAGAAACTAAACATTTTCAACATTTTGTCGTAATGAGGAAGTATTTTAAGAAAAAAACGAAAGCTCTAAAAAGCACCTCCACTAGATGGCGACTCTAGCAAAAGTTGATTTTTGCAGGAAACGAATGGACCGAAGTCAGTCATTTCCGTTCCTATTAACTGACATATTAAAAAACTGAAACATGCAAAGTTCGAAACTTAGATACAAATACAATATGAGTTGTTTATTGAGTTTTGAAAACTAATTTACTTTTATACATGAAAGAAAACTGGAAGGGTTGTCATGGATAAAAAGAGAAAGTACCGTAGCGACATCTAGTTTGATTTCGAGAACTATTTTTTTAAATACTTTCTCAGTATTTAACACTGTTATTATTGACACCCACACAAATGAAAAAAGCGGCTATTATACACGCGCCGCCATCATTGTTCACGCACACACGAATCTCACTCGGCTTCACCACTTTAAGTGTGCTTTATATGGGACACGGAATCTGGATTAATCTTACTTATAACTTATATACCGTCCAAATAAACATAAGTATGTAGGTACCTTATGTTTAATACAATATGAATATCATATAAACTAGTCACAATATAATATAATATTACCTATCAAATATACTTTTATCAAGCAATAATATCATAATTTTAAGTATTATATAAGTATAATGAAAAATGCTTAAAAAACTCCTCTAAGGTGGGATTCGAACCACGACCTTTCGCATTCCGGGCGACTTCTATACCACTGAGCTACCCGGGACCTAACAGGCCTGATGAATTTTTCAAGCATATCACTTTTTCGCTACTATAGAATGTATTTTCATCAATGTTCAAAGAATAATAACGGAATAAAATAAAAATATTTACCAGTATAGCGTTTTGAATGCAAAATTAATCAAATATAATGATAAGAAAAAAATTTGCATATTTATCTAAAGTATAAATATTTGTAAAAATATTTCTGTCGGCTGTTTGGGTGGATTTCCTTAACATTGATGAGTATATTCCACACGACCCAAATAATATCTTTTTCTTAGTTATTATTTGGACACATGTCCGTTTCATGGTAGCGTCAATGTGTATAAATTTCAAAATACATTTTTGTGTAGTAAAGTTTTTTATGTGTATTATTTATATAACGATTTTGAAGCGCCCAAACAATGGCGCTCGTGCCACGTGACCCCCACTGTATTTATAGCGGCAATAAATAATATGTCCAACTGTCACGGTTCATTAATTACATGAGCCTGATGACATACGGACATACAGCGGAGTCTTAGTAATAAGTATTCCGTATATTTTTTTGTTTTATTTTTGGAACTGCCTAAATGTAGCCTTTTAAAGTAATCACCGGAAATATACTTGTGTCGGGTTAGGTTTACAAACCATTGTATTTTATAATGTTTGTCAATAGATGGCGCTTTTTGTGAAAAAGCGAAACTTTTGATGGTGCTTTTTTTAAAATCGATTATGTATGTGTATTAGACTGATATTATTTGTTAATGCATGATAATTACGTAATAATTTGTAAGTGTTGTACAGAATTTGAAATAAATTATATCTGGAAGTGGCGTCATCTTTTATTTTCTCAAAATCTTATTATTGAATAAGTAAATAAGAACAAGAAGTGGCGGTAAAACAGATAGTATATATTTAATAAAGTAATAAATACCCCAACAAAAACATACATTTCAAAGTTAAATTGCCAACACCTGTAGCTCCTAACTGCCATTTTGCTATACATTTTCTTTTATTTCGAAAAAAAATACATTTATCGAAAAACGACAGTTAAGGGAGCTATTGGTACTTCGCTGTCGATATGGTGTGATTGTCGACCAAAGTATTGATATAAAAAAGGACAAAATAAAAAATTAAACCAACTTCAATAAATCTTAATAATGAGAAACGACTGAAAAGAGATAAACAATGCCATATATTTTTATCTTCAATAAAATCTAAACACAAAGTTGACACATCAACAATTTTTTGAGGTCGGTGCCAGACGTGTAGTAAAAAGTAAAACAGCACTATCAGAAAATCTATTTTCTCTGACCACACATAATATTTTTCATGTAAATATCTGGCACCGACATCAAACAAAATATTGGTGTATCCATTATTTTTTTTTTGTTTTCCATTTAATAGGGATGATGACAAATTTTTGTTTGTTTGTCCGTCAGGTAGAGTGTTAAAAATATTAAACACGTATTTTTTTATTATTTTTGTAATCATAAAATTACGGCGTTACATTGAGTTGAAATTTCGCATGACGTCACGTTAGGGTACGTACTCTACTCAACTGTGACGTAGCGAGCCCCCACTACTCAACTTTAATGGCTGTTATCTAAGCTATTTCTTGTTAAATTGAAGTAAAAAAAAAATACGTATCTAATATTTTTCTATTATCTGATTGACGGGCTAAATAGAATTGCATTTTTTTTACCCAGTCGTCATCCCCATTGAAGATAAAAATTTATAGTATTATTTCTCTCTTTTTGAAGTCAACACTCAATACTTAAATGTTTATTGCAAACCATAGTGTTACGTAGCTGTTACATTTTTTTTCTCTTTATTTTGGTACAAACAGTCATTACAATAAAGTGACATGACATTGCATATTTAAACTTAAAAGACAAATAGTACCCAGAATTTGCTACAAACAATGCTTATGCTTAGTAAATGGTAACAGTTATAGGTATATTAAAAGTACACTACTATTTGTTACAAAGGAAGAAAATATGTGAATTACAAAAGCGTTAATTAAATTTATTAATAATTTGTGATTTGAAACTAGCGATAGTGTTACTAAATAAATCTAAGTCCGAGAATTCGTAGTTGTATGTATGAAGACAGCGGGTAAAGTAATTGTTACGGGTGTAGTTTTTGCGGCATCGAGGTGGCACAAATATATTTAGAGAACGTGAGGAACGAACGGGCAAGCGAGCTCTGCTAATAAAGTTAATTTTTGATAAAAGATGTGGGGAATCTATGTGATAATTCAATAGTTTATAGAGAAACACTAAGTCAAATTGCTTTCGACGGTCCTTTAAAGATATAACTTTGTGACGTTTTAAAGAGTCTATATATGGTTCGTTGTAATTATGTATACGGTAATTTAATATTTTTAGAAATTTCCTCTGCACTTTTTCGATTCTGTCAACATCCACTTTATAATAAGGGTTCCATATAACACTACCAAAGTCTAAAATTGAACGTACAAAAGAATAATAAAGTATTTTGAGCGTTTGATTTTTTTGGAATGGTTTAGAAACCCGATTTATGAAACCTAAGTTGCGAAATGATCTTTGTACAATTGATTCTATGTGTAATTTAAACGAAAGCT